CTCCTCTGGTTGCTGGAGTGCTGGCTGTTGAAGCGCTGGTCCCTGTGGCTTCAGGCTTCCCCCAAACGTATTCGCAGTCGTACCAGTCTGCGTTTGCTCTCCAGCGCTTCCCAGAGCTCCGCTGATCTCCTGGGAAAGCCCCGACTCCATCCGGCGACGCAGAGAACTTTCATCCGCTTCTGATACACTGGCTCGTTGCTTCTTCAGGGGACTACCCACAAACGCTCCATTGAGTGCATTCACAGCAGGCTTTGCGGCTTCCGACCCTGCATTGCTGCTTGCGGGCGCATTAGGAGGCGTCGTCGATATGCTCGAAGTGGTTGGCGTCTCTCCCGAATTCACAGGGCTCCCAGCATCGGCCCTGCTACTAGCGCCGGCCAGGCTGGCAGAAGAGTGTTGACGTTTAAGCTGCACCTATTAGCATAAAGTATTCTCGATTAGGCCCGCGCAACTTACTTTGATTTTACGGACACCCTCCGCAAGTTCTCCTTGACGCTTTATATCTTCCGCGGTTAAATCATGATTGTCGTCTTTGGCTTCCTCATCGTCTGCTTTGCCGAGGATGGAATCATCGTCATCATCTTCGCTTTCCATGTCGTCGTCTTCCACGCTCTTGTTCTTCTTCTTCTTCTTCTTATCCTTGTTCTCGGATTTGTCCCGGAAATTGAGGAATCCAACTGTACCGCCCGGTTTGAGCGGACCGAGACTGGAGAAGTCGGTTTGCAACGATCGTCGCTTCACGGAAGCAGGAGTCTCTTGAGACTTGGGATCTTTCAGAATTCCCATTTTCTGTAGTTGTCCTGATAAACAGTTAGCCAAACTTTCCTAATAATCAAAGCGACGTCGAAACATACTCTCTCCTCGGTACATGAAAGTAAAGATCGCATACGGCTTGTCAGAAGGATCAATGCCTGTAACCGTCTGCGTGCTGATTGTTTTGGGATCCAACGTCTTGGGCTTTGCAAAGCTTGTCGTGTGATCAATGTCCGCGTCGTTGCCCTGCCCGCTTTGATTTTCCTCATCGTCGTCATGAGCATCAAATTGCGGCGAGTACTCTCCTCGTTTGATCTCCCCGGAGGCCAGAACCCGGAACAACGCAACTTTGATCTGTCCAGCAGACTCGGGGATCGGATCGTCGTCGGAATCGGAACAGGACATATCATCGTCGGAGACGTTCTCCAGAGGCGACTTCTCATCATTGCCATACCGCATGATCCCCTTGCCCCCCTTTGCCGACTTGGAATCCGTCTCCATGTCACCGGTTCCCTCGGTGGACTCGCGCTTTAGCCGGCGTCTCTCCATCTTCTGCCGTCTTCGCTCAATCCGGGCAGCGACATCCTTGCCTTCCAGATCCAGCCCGTTCAACCATCTCTCCAATCCGACCTCACGAAACAAAAACTCTCGCTCTGCAAGCCCACCTCCTTCGGACTCGGGCACGCTCACCCATCGCGAGTTGACCCAAGTCTCCTCCCCTCTCCGGAGCAATGTAGCGACCTCTTCTTTCTGCCGGCCATCGAAGTAAATATAAGCTGCGACCGTCTCATTCGGCGAGTTGGTCAAGGGTTGGTATGGCGCAACGGCACTGGTGTATTGCCCGCGTTCGCTTGTCTGCCCGGGAAGGCCCCCCACCACCTTAGGCTTCGGTGAGGGGTTGTCTGGCGTCGGTTTCGGCGTCGAGTACGGGACGTCCTGGCCGGGATTCAGGAGCGTGATGGAAATCGCAAAGGTCGACTGTTCGGGTTTCCCGCTGGCGGAGTCTGGTAACTTGGGCGGCGGTACGGGGATGTAGCAAGCGATACGTGATGCCCGAGACTGGCGTTGAATGGAGTACTCGGGAATGGGGCCGTCCGGAGTGTGTATACTCACGGCCAGACCCTTGAAACATGGCATGACGGGAGGGAGGAGGGGGGATGAGGGCAGAAGAACGGAACCTCGTTACAGAGACCCAAGAACCAAAACCAAGCCGAGAGAGATCGGAATCTCAATGAGAATGAGTAGAGGGGAGAAAGTCAAAAACCAATAAGAAAAAAGAGATGGTTGGGAAGATCGTGCGTCTGTGAGCGATAGCTTGGATGTGGGCTGTGGAGGCGGTCAAGACGTTTAGTTGGGCTCACAAACACCGATCGCCCCGGAATGATCGAATCCTTATAAAGAAACAATGACTGCGACTCGATCGGAATCTCCAGCTGACGGGAATAGCTCGTCTAGTCAGTCGAGGTGAATGCTTGATCAAACATCAACAGGTACCGACCCCCTGGGACTCAGCTAGGTCGCTGATGATCTACCCTGCTGCTGTCAGGGCTTGGTCCGTGTGCGGAGAATGGCAGGAAGGGGCAGTGGAATGGGGTCCAAACATACCAAACACAAGTTCCTAGGAAGTATCGGTACGTATCAGGCGGTAGACGAGATACCGTCCAAATGATCACTGTATCAGCCACAGGAACATGTGATAATTTGAGGAAAAAGTGACTTCAACAGGTGATGAACAGTGAACGAGGTTGGTGATGGAGGGTCCGCAGTGGAGGCACCCGATGACGATGGTCCGTTTGCTTTCCGTGGAACAGGTTCAAGTACCTGTCTATACCCACGAGAACCTCCAACAGGCAACAGGACTGCAGCAAAAACAACGGAACTGCAATAAGAATATGATACTACCTTCAGGTGACAGCACTCTCGAATACCGGACTCGACTATGACTTATTACATGGCCATGCTGTCATTACTCGGAACTGTTGAGGGGGTCATCAGTCATCAACGTCTTCTGGTTTGCTGCTGCGGGAGGTGAACCAGTTATTCCAAGGAATGACTACATGTCCCTTCCTATAAATGTGACCGATGATCAATATCCACCAGCTTGAAAATCATATATACAACATGCGATTGGAACAGGCCAGCCATAGCATTTCAAGCGCTAGCGTTGCATGACCAGCATATCATACCAAACTTCTGCTGTAAAGAAAGCAATTTTGCAAGAGCTACCGTCGAAACACGACTGCATCACGTATGGCAGTCCATCCTTTTGCCGATACACGGTAGAGCTGCTTGGACTGCGGAGGGCTCCTCCCAACACTGAGAACCACCAGTTCTCGACCATCAAAACGAAACAAGAATCCCTAGATCAAAGTCAGTAGTCAGCTCCAAACTACGAGTACTTGGATGACGCACTCTCCCGTGCTGACTCTGGGGTTGAATTGGAAACCACATCTCCGGATTCTCTAGCTCGGTCAACACCACCAGCTGAGGAAGACGAAGGTGCTCCAGATGAGCGAAGCCAGCTAGTTCGGCGTGTATCAGTTCATGGAACTTTTGTTCCAGATCTAGTAGAACCCTCGGAGGAACGAAATGACGGATAACTGGAGTTAGAATGTCGCAAAGATCTGAGTATCCGACTTCACGGGCAATCTCGACGGCCGTCAGATCCTGGTAGCGGAACTCGCTTTTGGATTTGTTAGTCGGCAGGGTTCCTAGCATCATTGTCAACGGATTCAGCGTAGTTTATATAGAAAAAAGATCATACTGAAAGCCCCGAATCGAATGAGTTTCTCTACCACCTTCTTCGGCGCATTCATATACGCCGCCTGGTGCAAAGGAGTCCATAGGCTCTGTCGGTGGGCATCGTCCTCTGATCCTGTCCAGAATTAAGCAGCCATCACTCAACGCACTCCGCAGAGTTGCATACTTAGACGAAAAGAATTGCACCATGACTCGCCAAAGCGGCGTCTCCCTGTGTCCAGTGAAGACAACAACCGATCCCAGTGGGCCCGGTATGCTGCGTCGGACAACCGCGCTCTCTCTCTGACATAGGCCGGGTCCAAGCCTGTCTTGACGACGTTTCCAAGCCACAGCGCTGGTTTCGCGGGATTGGAAGAAGGTTGGCTTGATATCACATTGGGGGATATTTGCTTTCCATCGTTGTGCGATTTCTTATGTGAGCTATGTCCCTTTTTTTCCTGCTCGGAAGAATGTTCCAAGCACAACTCATGGCTGTCTTGACTCAAATGAGTCGTGCCAAAAGCTTCAGTGATTTGTGCCGATTCTTCAGCACGGCTCTTCATCGTAGTGATCTCATTCTCAGTTACCACACTGGACTGACTGTCGCGCCCACGTCAGCTTCGGATACATTGGACCTTTTCTTAAGGACTCATACGCTGCAATGAAAGTTAGGACTAGGTTGAGGTCCTTCTCGCGAGCCTCAAGCTTCCCGACCAACGCGGTGACATCGGTCTTGTGGAAAACCCAGCTGAACTTCATCCAGATTTCGGAATGCTTTGAGGCATCCGCTATCTTGTGGACAAATCCTAGGATCTCGTCGGCTGTTTGGCGGTACGCACTATCATTGAAAGATATTGATAGGGATCGTTCGACTGGGTTGGATAACCGGCTTGTGAGAGACCTAAATAGTTCGACATATAGGCGGACCCTTTCGCAGCGACTCAGCAGCTCGACGAGGGCTTCTTTGGCGCCATTCATCGTCTCAATAATGCCCTTAACGGTGTTCACGATTGTCAGGAAGATGCCTGCCACCTCTGCTGCCGTCTGAGTAGCCGTTATGGGATCCATCCTGAAATAACACGTAACGGAATTGTTTTATGATAAGTTTGTCAAGGACAGTGAGTATTTATGTTGGATTCTTGGGGAGGTCAGCTCGTGCGCTTCCAGAGGTGGGGAGAAGCGTTAGCCTAGTTGAGTGGACTAAGCTGAGATGCCGACCTCACTGTCTGACACATAAACCAACGTGGTGTCGATCGAGTCTACCATTTTGTGGTTTAAGGCGAAAGATCGTCTTGTTTTATCAGCCCATCTTTACAAAGGATGAGGCGATACTACCAGTATATAGTGCTAGTCATCGCTTCAGCGAGCTGCCTATGCAATATTGCAGAAATATAATATCCTTGCTTTTCCACATCCACAATCATGATCTGCCAGTGAGGTCGATATTTCTTGTGCCAGATTCATTGTTGCGTAGTTAGAGGTATTCCAACAATGATGGTATGCAATATTCATAGCCCTCGCCGTCGCGCCTCTTCCATGGCTACGTTGGCCAGGTCGGGAAAGTCCCGATTCAAATTACTAAAGAGCGTTTCGGCCTTTCGCCTCCTGATCTGCTCAATCTGGGATTCAAATGCAGTGATCTTTTCAAGCACTTTAGCGTGCGACTCCACCAAAGAGAGATCGAGAAGATCATCCGCATATCGACGAAGAGCGTCCAGTCTCTTCTCCAGAATAAGAATACTCTCCTCACTTGTAGATGAGAAAGAAGAGTTGTTTTCTCCTGAAGAGTGATCGCGCCGGTTTGATATCTCAGGAAGTGCAGCAGGTTGGTACCGTGAGACATGATTGCGAGAGCTTCCTTCAGCCGCCGCACTCTCATCCCGGCTCTCAACCAGGTCACAAATTCGAAGCTGTCCTTTGGGCCAAGAATTCCCATAAGAACGCACTTTGGCGAGATGTATATTTGGTTGAGCAGTGTCTCTGCTCCATAAGTCGTCCGATTCTGATCTCACGATGCCAGGCGGTTGAGTGTCCTCCGTAGAAGAAAACCTGCTGCGGTCCAGTATTCGTTGCTCGAAGCCTTCGCTGTTGTTTGGTCTAGGCCGTTTTCGCCCTTGCAGAGAAATGGCCGTCTGCGAAGGTGTTATCTGTGGCCCTGCGCTGGCTCTCTTTCCTCTCTTCTGATCGAACACATTGTCTACAAAGCCCATAACACGGCCTCGGGGATCGGCAGGCTTGATGCGGGCTCTGACGGGTTTTTCTTTACTCTGATATGGCTGAGCAAAGTGGCAACATCTGCAGTTGCACCGGTGAGAACACTTGGGGCACACCCACGGGCCCTCTCTTCGGAGCAGAGGAATGAGATCAATATCAAAATGTCTGTAGAGGCCACGAAAGCAGAAGAACGCAGAGCATTGGGAGCATGTGATCCCTTTCCACACTGTATGGTTGTCTCGGCACAGATGGCAAAGGCGTTCCTGGCAAGAGTCAATTGTTAGTTCAAATTTGTTGAAATGGCGTCGTACTTACCATAGACTGTCGTCGAGCATCTGCCGCAGCTCTAGCCAAAAGACCCAGAGATTTCTGCCTATGAATGACTGGTTAGCTTTGTGGGACTTTGTGCTGACAAGCTCTCAGCCGGGATAAGAGGATTAGAATATCGTCGGTACGAGTATTAAAGTCAACAAGAATACTTACTCTGCTATCCTGGGACTTGAAGGGGATAGTAAATCAGTGTTCTTCCGGGTTGCATCGATTAATGCTTGACAATCTTCTCTGGGAATCAACTCTGCCCAGGTATAGTCCGTAATATGTTTGCAACTCCGTCCAGAAACAAAGCAAGGCAAGCATAAGTCGAAATCCCCGCACTGCTCACAATGCAAATGCCGATTCCAGATTGTCAGTCCACAATAATTGCATTCCACCACGGCACCTTGAGTATCCACAAGCTTGACAGGTACAGTTGTCCCCGTATCATCATCGTCGACCAGCCGCTCAAAGATCTCCAAAAGGAGTTTCAGCTCCTTTGCGCTAAGCGTAGTAGGATCTCTAAGTGCATGTAGCGGGATCAATGGGACTCGGCCGGTGTCTGTATGGCATTGTCTTTGATAAGCGGGTTGGATGTAATCAAAGAACGATACCATGGAAGATGTATGCATGACATTCCAAACGACCCTGGTGACCATTGGACCAATGTTCCAAACTTGGTGCGCAGTTGCTGATGGATAGACAATCAGATCGCCAGGTTCTTGGTAGGTAATGTAGATGGGAAAATTGGCTGATTGTAGCTGCGCGATCGAAACATTGGCCCAGTCGGTATGCGATGACCTTCCCAATTCCTCCATGTAAGCGTCATATTTTGTTTGCGATTGTCTGTCAGTACMGAAGCAGATTGACCCTGACCGACGGTCTTTGAACGGTTAGTTTATCCTTCCAAATGTCCCGATAATCGATTCCGAGTCATTTACCTTTGGATTCGATCACGAGATTGAGAGCAACTGTCCCGCTAAGGCATCTGTGAAAGCCGGAACTGTAGTCGTCGTGTCAGCTATGCATTCTATACAGCATTCGAGATGACCACATACAAAGATCCCTGGGTTCCGGCATACGCCATCAAGACCTCTGGTGMAATTTCTCGGGGCAATACTCGGAACAAGTCCAAAGAACCCAAGTGCTGCAAAGATGATGGTAAGATGGCTCTCAAAGCTTTAACCCACTTCTCTGGACACTGAAGATCTTTTGCATATAGACTGAACGCGCTACTAGTCAGAATATTGCGAAGAATCGGGAAGCTGGTTGGTCGACATACAATTCTCGGATATGGCTACTTCGCGTATGGTCCGTCAGACACTGGAAAAGATCCGCAAGCTTCATACGCACATCCCGTCCCGTCTGACAGTTCCTCACAGGTATTGCTACAGGCAGCGAGTCCGGGTAAGCACCTGATATATCAAAGTAGTGGCATTCGATAGTTGACGTACATCCCGAGGAAGACAGGTCTACCAGGCTCTTGCTGCTGAAAATGCCCTTGTCCCAATTGTCGAGCTTGTCAAAGCCATGAATAATAAATGGTTTTTCTTCCTGCAGCCTGTGTTCCAACCAGTCATTGGCTTCTTTGTGACTTAGGTCACAGAGGTCATGAACCGAGAACTCGGAAAAGGGGACAAATGGTTTTCCGGAGCGCAGGAGGTCTTGCACAGAAGGAGGGTCTGGTTGGGTGAAATTCATGTTATACCAATTCTGAGCACTGCATTTCACCCTCTAATTAATTGTAGGACGATAATAGCGTCGTATATGGATATTGAGCTCATACGGAGTAGCGATCCTCATCTTCTATCTCGGAAACCACAATGGACGTCGCAGTGATGCACGTGATGCGGAGCACGGGGAAGATCTAGCCTGATCAGGTAATTAGCTATGGAGACCTAAGATCGTTTATGAGTACAGCTCGGCCACGACCTATATGCGTGTAGAATTTTTCACTGCAAGGTTCAGGCGATGTTTAGCCATCTATAGCACTTTTATCTACTTATAGAGCGTCCCCAATCATGAACAGCCTGCAACAGTAGAGTGTCTTGCCTTGACCCATCCCGATGCCTACAAATGCCTCCACAGTGAGCATAATAGCTGCCAGACAATCAGATATGCAGAGCGCATGTGCCTGTTCAGGTTAATTGGTATATGAACAAACTGCGGTTTGTTGGAGACTCGTGCAGAAAATGAATGAGAAAAGAAATCATTTCAGCTGACTTGCTTTGTACTATGCTTGTCCAGAGGGTCAGTTGTCTGAATGTTCCAAACTCAGGTATGAACAGCGAGTAGATTAATTCCGAATACATGAAAAATTCAGAAACGGTGATAACTGAACCGAGGACTGATTTTCTGGGACATCAGAGTTGGTTCTTGGACACCAGGTAGAGCTCGGACAAACAATACGCACCATTCAATGAACAAATATCCAATCAACGATCCGATTATTAGCACATAAGATCAGAATACTGGCAATCAAACACAGAGCAAAGCCAGGAACATCCTGACAAGCCAGAACTGCAGTCTCCAGTCGCGTAGTGGGTATGGCCCGTTCCGTAATTGTCTCCAGCGTAGTTGAATAGAGCGTATATTCCGCCCCTTGAGCCTTGACCTATTCCTCTCCTTTATCTGACAATAACGGTCTATGGCAGCTGAGAGGTCATTATCCTCACCAGCATCGATATCGTCTACTCGCCCAATTTCTTGACATGCATCATTGTATAGGTAAACATTACATCCTGTCTCTAATAGTTCCCAATTTTGAACCTTACCTCTGACTAGCAGCAGAAGAAGTGACCTTGGGAGCAATATGAGGAAAGATACCCCGAGTGCCCGATATATACTGTACAGACATAGAAGAATTTGAGTAGATAGGGCTGAGGTTCTGGGAGAAAATATGTCTTTACAACAACAATAACTCGAGGGAAAGGGCATAGAAGCGTAAGCACTCTAGCTTCAGTAGACAGTACGTACCTAGTTCGGATCCATGCCTAATCACCACGCATTATCCCGGTTAAATAGTTATGCTGCAGAGAGTTGAATTAATATGGCAGCTATCTTGCATAACTGGTATCATGCATGGTTGTCATTAACCCTTCGGCCCTACAAGCCAGAAGGCAGTGTTTCTTGAGGCTCCAGAGAAAGTGATAGAATGAGGAATGTATTGTCCAAAGATGAACTTGCGTCAGTATCACTGGATATTAGTGAGGGCGCCATGCGATCAAGAAGTATCCCAAGCCAGATGTCTAGTGGTCACAGCTTCATCCAATCACTGCCAAGGTATACATTGTAATCCACGTGCACATAGGATTGAAATTCCGTTGGAGTCGAAGCGCGGATAGCCTGTTTTTAGAAGGAACAACTAAGCTTCGAGGATCGAGACTGGAGAACTTCAGGGACGGATCTTACGATTGAAGAAGGCCATGATCGGCATTGTCGAGTTCKGCAACCTCGGCTGGGAAGCAGACCCTGACAACTACTTCCAAAGAGACTTGTTAGGCATAGATATCGACCATTGAGCTTGCTTGACCTCTTCAGCCGCAGTTCAGTCAAAGGCCCAGAAAATATTACAGCTAAGTAGTACGCAAGGCTTCCAATGCACCATACAATCCGTATCGGCAGGATCAGCAGGCAGCCTTACCCTGGTAAGTATTGCAGGCATCTGACTCAGTACTTTTACCTTCCTTTAGTAGCCTCGAGTTCATCATGTGCGACCTTAGCCACGGTCTGACCCGGCTGTTTAACGTGACTCGGGCGAGATATCGGGATATGTCGTGTTCGGGTTCATCTCAAAGTTTTCGGCTGGAATTGTGTAGCATGAATACTCAATGCTGCCTGGGGAACGGAGTCTCGGTTTCTGTATCACATCCCGGCTGGGGCTTTGCGCATGGCTATTGGGCATTAACCGAAGCTCTGAAAAGCAATTTCGAAGTTGGCCATCTTGGCAACGCATAAAGACAAGAAACATATGGGCTTAGGCATCACTTTCTGGATGAGTTTGTCGTAGCTTTTTCGCCACTGTGGGAAGAGATAAGCCTAGAATTCACTGGTCAGGGTCGTTGAAATCTCTCATCAGCTGCAAACAGCAGAACAAGGAAACTAAACGGAATTCTCCAGATCGTGAAGTATGGGCGAAAATGAAAACAAAAAAAGGAAAATAGGGAAAAAGTTTAATGAGAAATTGGCGATCTTCAGCCACCAGACCAGGCCAGGCAAAAGCAAACGGGGGGAAATTCCCCACATGGCGTTGATGTTGATTCAATTCCATCAGCCATCCAGACCGTATCCATAGTCGGCGGCATTAAGTGCTGTAACCTCATAGCCTGGTACACTCGAGCCTCTTTGATAACTATAATTACTATTTCTTATTCGTAGTGGACTACACTTGATGAGCTCAATAAATTCAACACTCTCGTCAAAAGTTGCAGACTGCATATAAATTTGTCTCGAAAAAAGGGTGAGAACGGGCTCAGATCTCGTTCTTCCAAGGTGGTTTCTTGGCCGCGAATCATGAGATTTTGAATTCAGTGAATTCACATTCAGTGTATGATTGCGACGGTGATGTCCGTTCGAGTAGATAGTTGTCCGCAGGTGGGGTTCATAATAAAATGTCTCTTTAAGCCTATCCACATTCCAGAGGGGGAAGGAAGGTCAGCAAGGGGGCAGATGACCATGTGCTCGTTGGAATGTGCGGGTACGAGATACAGAGACTAAACCCAAAGCATAATCTGCTTTACTCCCCAGATTTTCTCCGGGTTCCTGATCTGGAGTTCGTCTCTTGGTTACACAGTCCCAGACTTCTAGCCGAGTTTTCCTGGTACGTTGTATGGAGTAAAAGCTCGAACCTTTGTACAGCAGAGTAGAGTCAGAGATTCCATCTACCAAGCTATAACATGACCACGCGGACAGAGATCCAGGGATCCTGATCTTAATAATGTCCGAAAGAGGAGGGTTGCAATCTGCGTCTGAACGAAAGCCTCAGACCGACCCCACCACCGTCCACCACAATCTTCTTATTTGCTTAAGCTCTCGGGCTTGGGGTTGGGGGCCTTGGGGCGGTGACTCCGTGCCCGAGAGTCCGTGACTTCCCCAAAGTCACATCGGCCGCCAAGATGGACCCATTATACCAACGCACTTGACTGTTCTTGGCTTAGCTTAAAATACTAGCCTTCGACGGGCCTGGGAACCGGCCAAGAGGAGCGAATAACGCTTGGTCAAACGTCCAGGATCCTGTCCAGTTCTGGCAATTCCTGGCAAGGATATTCCCTCGAGTAACAAGAGTGGCGTTTTTGCTTCCTCGAGATTGGCTCGTGCTTTTAGTGGTTGAGAAGTTGGGGCAGCGGGCAATCGGCTCAGCAACAACTCCAGCCTGAAAGAAATGGTATGACACGGGATCCCGTACGGGTGGAAGCGGGGGTGAGAACGAGGACAGGCCTCAATTTGACGAAGACCGGCAGCTGGGAACGTCTTGGTGTTTCAGGTCTCTGATGTCTATGGATCATAGCACGGATAATCGCTGAATATCCTGATAGCTGTGGTGGAATATAGGTTCCAGACGCATGGCCACTCAAGGGATAACCATGCAGGAGAATATTCCTTCAACTTTGTTTCTGGAAGCCTGAAGGAGACAGCATCACAGGCTCGCAGGAGCCTTGCACTCCGCATTATCCTGCTGAGTAAACCTCCGGATTAGACTATGCCTTAACGCAGTCCTCGGACCCGTGGGGGTCTCCACCTTGGCACACTCAATTCGCGTGGTTGACGGGACGAATTACGAGCAATCTTTGGGCACGTCTTACGACGCGGAGGCAGCCATAGTCATCGCCAGACATCTGGCCGTAATGAAAGAGAGTAATTTAGACTTTACCCAGAAGTTTTCTGCTTTAGGACACTCGCTTGCTGTCTCCGGTCCCTCATCGTCCCTCTCTGGTCCTTGATTATCCAAGCCAAGGGGACACCCCAGTCTCGCTCAGGCCTTGAAGCTCAGGCTTTTCTGGTGGACAGATGATATCCCGCTAGTGTTAGACTGTTAGCAAAAAGCATTGGCACTACTGAGTAGACTCTCGAGCGAAGGAGTTAGTTGCGGCAATGGCTCTTCAAAGAGCAGCCACTGACTCTAGGCCGCATAATAGCTCCACGGTAGTTTTGCAATCTTCGGCCCTTGAGGACCAATAGGAGAAGTGGGTACTTTCTGTATATCTGACAGGAGAAAGATGCATGCGGTCGTGAATTGCCCAGGCGTAAAGTGAATCTAGTAGTGACGCCATTGGATAGGCGCTCGTGAAAGGTCAGTCAGTGATCTTCCTTGTGGATTCAGCCTTCTTTTTTATTTTCTTTTTCTTTGAACTGTCTTGTGAATATGGTAATATTCTTCTATTTTTTTCCTTCCTATTTTTTTAATTTTCCACATTTTTTTATTATTTTTCCACTCACTATTTCTTTCCTCATCCTTCTCCTCCCCGCACCTTCCTTCCATCTTCTCTTTCTCCGCATCCCCTGAGCTACAGACCCAAATCTTCCAATTTGAAGCAAGAAAGAAGACTCACACAACAAGACACAAGCAACAACAAGCTCCTTCTCATAGTCTCGGTTTGCCATGGCAGACGGAGGCCCAAAGCAGGAGATTGCTCATATCGCAACAGCTGATGCGCCTGTCGAGCAGCGGTAGGTTTGCCCTGAGCCCAAGCTTCTATACAGCC